TCCACTGGCGGTTTCTTGCACAAGTATGGCCGTTCTTGTGCAAGAACCTGCAGAGCGTCCACACTGCCCACCCTCTCTTGTGCAAGAATATTTACAGTATGGAATGGTAAGAGGGCTTCTTGCACAAGAGCTATGCTCTTTTCTTACAAGTGTAAGCTCTCCTGCACAACAGCTCTTGTACAAGAGAGCAGTGTGGTTGCGCCACAGGGGTTTCTTGCGCAAGAAAGCCCTATGGCTAAAACGGCCATCGGAGCTTTCTTGCACAAGAGCATCCACAGTGCCATGGGCGCTCTTGCGCATAAGCACATTCTTGGACATGGCAGTGTGGACGTGTTCTTGCGCAAGACTTCTTGCACAAGAACCCTTGCGCAAGATGTTCTTGTGCAAGAACACACCAGTGTAGACATAGCCCAAGTATATACACGCTGATAGGAATATACTTTAAAATGTAATTATATCAGTTTGAATTATGACAACTTGCATTGACAAACCTCTGTAGTGTAGACAAGGCTCAAGTAATTTTTTATTTGTTCTTTTCCTATTTTAGCCTCCGATTCTACCATTTACACTGGCATTCAAACAAAAAAGGACATTGTGCATAGCAGACTATTGGATATAATCATCCAGGCCCACATACTTTATACTACAATGAACCTAAGTTCCACAGCAGAAAACTAAATTTTGAAACAAGTTATTATATTCTGGATCTAATACCCATTCTGATTTTGCCCAAGGCAGCTTCCCTCCTACCTCTTTATATTGCTGCTGACACCACTAGCTTTGTTACTGCCTCTCTACATACTATTCACTGAAACTGCCTACCAATTACCACCTTATGGAAGGAGGGCAGCTCTGTGATACCTTGGATGGCTATAGAAGAAGAGGTTACTTACCTCGTAACTGTAGTTCTTCGAGATGTGTTCTTCGAGATCATGTCCATTCTGATTAGGTGTACGCGCGCCACGTGCACGGATTCCAGAGCTTTTTTCCCTTAGCAGTATCCATAGGGCCAGCAGGGAGCCCCCTGGAGTGGCGCCGGTATACCGGTGCATATATACCCCTGCTGGCCCTCCCAACTCTTCAGTTCCTTCTTGCCGGCTCCTTCCAACACGGGGAGGTGGGTGGGATGCAGAATGGACACGAGCAACACATCTCGAAGAACTACAGTTACGAGGTAAGTAACCTCTTCTTCTTCTTCGAGTGCTTGCTCATGTCCATTCTGATTAGGTGAGTCCCTAGCCATGTCCCCCCTCCGGAGGCAGGGTCGGAAGGTGACCAACTACTATTTTATTATTCTGCAGAACACAGAACTGCCATCCCGACGGCAGCATCCTCCCTGGCCAGCTGCGTGATTGCATAATGCTCTGCAAAGGTGTGCACCGATGACCAGGTTGCTGCCCTGCAGATTTCCAAGATCAGCACGCAGGCCAGGAACGCCGCCGACGTTGCCTGGGCTCTAGTGGAATGTGCTGTTATGCGCGGCGTTGGTCTACCAGCGCCTTCGTAGCACAGTCGAATGCAGGAAGTAATCCACGAGGCTATACGCTGTGCCAAGACTGGCTGACCACACATCCTTTCCGCCACTGAAATAAACAATTGAGTTGACTTACGAAACTCTCGTGTCCTATCTATATAAAAAGGCAATGCCCTAAT